CCCTATATACCAAAATTCCCAGTAATAGCTCTAACATTGTACATCTGCTACTTTAGCAGTCTGAAGGTATGACATGGGTCACCATATCTAACCAGACTCAACCATACTTCACATTCTCTCTTTTTTCTTTTAAGATTATGGAGTACAGTTTATTTTTATTAAAACAATTTTTTTTTCTTGTTTTAGTTTTTAACATTCACTTCCATAGGATTTTGAGTTCTAAATTTTCTCCCCATCTTGTCCCTTCCCCCACCCCAAGATAGCATGCATTCTGCATACCCCTTGCCTTAATCTGCCTTCCCTTCTATCACCCCCCTTTCTCTTATCCTCCTCCCCTTCTATTCTCCTGTAGGACAGGATAGATTTCTATACCACATTGCCTGTATATCTTATTTCCCACTTGCATGTGAAAACAATTTTTAACATTTGTTTTTAAAACTTTGGGTTCCAGATTTTCTCCCTTCTTCCCTCCCCACCCTCCCTCATTGAGAAGGTGAGCAACACCATAGAGGTTATACAGGTGTAGTCATGCAAAACACTTCCACAGTAGTTATGTTGTGAAAAACTAAGTGTATTTCCCTTCATTTTATGCCAACCCCCATTTATTCTATTCTCTTTTTTGACCCTGTCCCTCCTCCAAAGTGTTTGCTTCTGATTACTCCCTCCCCCAATCTGTCCTCCCCTTTATCATCCCCCTGCTCTCTTATCCCCTTCCCCACTATTTTCCTGTAGGGTAAGATAGATTTCCATACCCAGTTGACTGTGTATGTTATTCTCTCCTTAGGCCAAATCCAATGAGAATAAGATTCACTCATTCCCTCTCACCTTCTTCCACTTCCCATCTACTGTAAAAGCGTTTTCTTGTCTGTTTTATGTGAGATAATTTATCCCATTTTACCTCTCCCTTTCTCCTTCTTCCAGTATAATCCTCTCTCACCTCTTATTTTTATTCTCCAGGTATCACCCCTTCATCTTTAACTGACCCTGTGCCATCTATCTATCTATCTATCTATCTATCTATCTATCTATCTATCTATCTATCTATCTATCTACATATATGTTTTTTTCCCTCCAAGTACCCTAATACTGACAAAGGTCTCATGAGTTACAAATATCGTCTTACCATGTAGGAATGTAAACAGTTCAGCCTTAATAAGTCCCTTATGATTTCTCTTTTCTGTTTACCTCTTCTTACCTCTTCTCTGTTTACCTACTTCTCTTGAATCTTGTATTTGAAAGTCACATTTTCTATTCAGCTCTGATCTTTTCATCAAGAATGCTTGAAAATCCTCTATTTCACTGAATGTTCATTTTTCCCCATGAAGGATTATACCCAGTTTTGCTGGGAAGGTGATTCTTGATTTTAATCCTAGCTCCTTTGGCCTCCAGAATATCCTATTCCAAGTCCTCTGGTCCCTTAATGTAGAAGCTGCTAAATCTTGTGCTATCCTGATTGTGTTTCTACCATACTTGAATTGTTTCTTTCTGCTTGCTTGCAATATTTTCTCCTTGACCTGGGAACTCTGGAATTTGGCTACAATATTCCTAGGAGTTTTCCTTTGGGGATCTCCTTCAGAAGGTGATTGATGGATTCTTTCCATTTCTATTTTAACCTCTGGTTCTAGAATATCAGGGCAGTTTTCCTTGATAATTTCTTGAAAGATGATATCTAGGCTCTTTTTTTGATCATGGCTTTCAGATAGTCCAATAATTTTTAAATTCTCTCCTGCATCTATTTTCCAGGTCAGTTGTTTTTTCAATGAGATATTTCACATTGTCTTCTATTTTTCATCCTTTTGGTTTTGTTTTACAATGTCTTGATTTCTCATGAAGTCACTAGCTTCTAATTGCTCCATTCTAATTTTTAAGGAAGTATTTTCTTCAATGAGCTTTTGGATTTCCTTTTCCATTTGGCCAAGTCTGCTTTTTAAGGCATTCTTCTTCTCGTGGTGTCTTTAGCCATTTGGGTTAGGCTATTTATTAAGGTGTTATTTTCTTCAGTATTTTGTTGGGTCTCCTTTAGCAAGCCGTTGAATTTTTTTCATGATTTTCTTGAATCACTTTCATTTTTTCCCCCAGTTTTTCCTCTACTTCTCTTATTGCTTCTCAAAAACAATTTTGAGTTCTTCCACTGTGGGGCACTGATTCATATTTTTCTTGGAGGCTCTGGATGTAGGAGCTTTGTTGTCTTCTTCTGCTTTTGTGTTTTGATCTTCTTTGTCACCAAAGTAAGATTCTATGGTCTGACTGTTTTTGTGCTGTTTGCTCATGATCCCAGCCAATTATTTGACTTTTTAACTCTTTGTTAAGGTAGGGGTCTGCTTCCATTGTGGAGAATGTACTGTCCCAAGCTTCAGAGGTTTTGTGCAGCTGTTTTCTGAGATACTTCTAGGGACTTGTAGATTTTCAGTTCTTCCAAGGTGCTATGATCAAGGGTGAGTTGTTTACTCCTTTCCTGGCCTGGGCTCTGGTCTGTGAATGATCATAAGCACTCTCTTCTGCCTTGGAACTGTGAGGATTCTCTCTTCACCATCAACACAAGCTCCACCACACCAGTGCTCCTCCTTGCCCCAGGATCACCACCCAGAACTTTGACCCAAATCCAAGCAAGGGTAAAGAAAGAGAATCCTGCCTTAGAACCAGCAAAGAGATCCCTGAAATCCCCCTCTGATCAGCCACTGGATTCCCCCTCTGTCTGTTGGCTGAGAGCTCCAGAAGTAGCCATGGCCCCAGGGCTGTGCCGGGACTGGGGCTAGGACCTAGCTTCTCTCTCATCACAGTCACAGACTTTTCCTACTGACCTTCTAAGTTGTGTTTGGCTTTTGTGGGTTGAGAAGTGTGGAAACTGCCACAGCTGTCTGTGATTCAGTCCTTTGAGGGCTGCTCCAGTTTTGCTGAAGCCTGGTCTTTGCCTGTGTGGCCCACATTGAACTATGTTTCTCTCCCAGCCTGGTGCGATAGACCTTTTCAATCAATTATCCACTTGTCTTGGGCTGGAAATTTGTTTCACGCTGTCTTTTTGTGGGTTCTGCTGCTCTAGAATTTGTTTAAGCCATTTTTTACAGGTATTTGGAGGAGTTTGGGGTAGAACTCAAGCAAGTTGCTGCTTTCACTTGCCATCTTGGCTCCACCCCCCACATTCTCTCTTGATCATCTTACCATCATCTGCCTTGAACCCATAGCCTCATCAACCCATCACCCAGTCCCCTTGCCCTGGAACTATAATCAAATCAAATCAAATCAAATCAAATCAGTACTGCTATTGCTACTAGGAAGGTCATCAACTCTTCTCTGGTTCTTAGTATCCCTGTGATTTCCCAAAACACTCTTTCTTGGCCACTACTCCTTTGTGTTATTTTCTCTAATTAGAATGTAAGCCCCTTACTGTCTTGCTTTTCTATTTTTATTCTTAGCACTTCATACAGTTTTTGGCACATATTACGGGCTTAATAAATGCCCATTCATTCATTAATTCATTTATGGTGTAGTGTGCTATAAGTCAAATCTATTTGGCTATTTCTGATGAATATCAGAATAACCTTTTAAAGTTTGTAAAGCATTTTACATATATTATTACATTTGATTTAAAAAAAATTACGCTCATCTCCATATAAACATCAAAATATTGAACACATCTCCAATGGGTTTACTTTAAAAACTAATTTTTTTGAGGGGGGAGGAAAAGATTTAGTATGGAATAGAAGATAAAATATAAACCCATTTTGTTAATTGTTACCACCACAAACTAGTACTTAGAATGCCTTGTACAACAAAACAGCAAAGGATTAAAGTTAGAGGTGTTCCCATGGCGAGGCTGAAGATTTGTCTCTAGTATACAGAGTACTAAGGTTAAGGTGAATGCTACAGTCCTCATTATTTGGATGGGTTGATGCTCTAATCAGACTTTGTAACAAGGTGCCATTCTGTTAAAACTTCAGTGACTTCCATTACTTCCAGAATCAAATATAAAATGCTGCTTGGTTTTTAAAGGTTTTCAAAACTTGGCCCCTTCTTTTCTTTCCTGTATTTTTATACTTGATTCCCCATCAGCACTCTAAGATCCAATGATACTGGCCTCCTGGCTGTTAATTGCCCATAATACTTCACTTCCCAATACTGCCATTTTCATGTCATTGGCTGTACCCCATGCCAAGTATTCTCTCCTTCCTAGTCTAGACTTCCTGGCTTCCTTGAAGTCTCAGAAACTCAAGCTCTGCAAATTCAGCCTTTCCCAATCTTCCTTAATGCTAGTGCCTTCTCTATGATTATCTCTGACTTATCCTGTATGTATCATTTATACATAATTGTATGTCTTTTTACCTATCTCCAGGGCTTAGCACAGTACCCAGCACATACTAGGTCCTTATTTAGTGCTTGTTGACTTGATTTGAATGGCAGAATAGAAATTTGACCCAGTAAAAGCGTTTAGTCTTATGCATCACATAACTGCCAAAGTTAATCCCAATAAGTGCCAGGTGGAGTCAAGCTCTTTTTTGAAGTGGATTTTTATTTCCTTCTCTATGTAGTACTTCTCTGAGGCATGAGTAGCACACCCCATAGAATCATGCTGTATCTCCTGTGAGGTGTCTTCATTTTGATTACAGCTTTGTAGTCATACATAATTACACTATCTGTTCCCAGATGGACTCAGAACTTTAGCTGGACAATGTATCTAATGCAAGTGATCTTCACAACTTTGTCAAAGAGGTTCTACAGGTATTACTAACCCCATTTTAAAGAAAAGGAAACTGAGGCTCAGAGAATTTAACTATTTGCCTGTGGTTACCACCTACTGTGTAGGCAGGATTCAATCCAGCTCTTGTCTTACTCCAAATTCAGTGCTCTTTTACTAACCATTTATTTGACATCTTTTTTCTAATCTGTAAATTGGGGAATTAGAAGATTTTCAAGGTCTCTTCCTATCTTAGGCATTTGTGATTTTAAATAATAAGATATAGCTTTTATATTAATTGATGTAGAAATACATAACAAAAAGAAAATGAATTACATGTTAATATTTTATTTCATAGACAAACAAAAACCAACAGACAATGCCCCAATTTCCCCAAAGAACCTATTTCAACTTGACAGCTAATTATACGACTATTACTTGAAACAGCTTTTAAACTATATCACTTCACTCTGGTCACTCTTTTTTTTTTTTAATCCCTTCTTTCGGCCCTGGCCTAAAAATCTATCTAAAAAATAGGCTTTAGTTATTGAAGTGTTAAATTATTTTTGAGTCAATACTCTAATGGGACATAGTACACATGCATTTCTTTAGTAATCAGTCATCTGGGACACAATCATGCCTTCATGATAATCTGGAGGGGAAAAAAGCATTCATTATTTATGTGCTCACAGAAATAAAATATTGATGCCATTAGACATCCCTTTTGACACAACAGTCATTTATAAATCCCTTGGTTTCTCCAGTTTACCAAAAACATGGATAATTGGTGAAAACTGAGCCAGCTCATTGGAGGAAGGCCAGGGCCGAAAGAAGGGATTAAAAATAAAAAGAGTGACCAGCCATTGAAAGTTCAGTTATTTCTTAAATGTACATTTTAATTGTCTCATATCCTGTTTTATTTGATTGATACTTCAATTAAAAATCATTGAGCTACATTCAGCTGAAACTCTTGTCCCAGAAAAGCCATGATAGCTGAACAAAGCTTGGTTTTTGGGTGTCTGGTCCTAAGGCACACATCAGAAAGATGTGGAATGGGGAGACTATAGCACCCAGACCTTGTCATTTCTGATCCAGGGCCTCCAGATATTAAATTGATAGGAGATGCCCATTTTTTAAAAAGTGCTTGTGATGAATGGGGGATTTGTAATTCCCATGATGGTCTTATCATCTATAATATCAAAAGACTTCATTAAAGGTAACAATCACTTTCATTGATTTATAAATGTTAAATTGTCCACAACTATACAGTACAAGAACTCAGGAGGCATCCAGCTTCTTATAGGCTTCTTTTATGAAAGTTAACATATTCTTCATCTCTGCTGAATTATTCATGACATGCAGATCCTTTAGAACATCTTTCTGATTTGGGATCCTCTTCAAAATTTCCTCCTGTGGCATAAGAATGAAGAAAAATGCAGACCAAAAAAATGAGGTAAATTTAAAATGAAGTTACCTCAATATAGATTAATGTTCTTAAAGAGAAATTCAAGTAAAAAGACTTTCTCTTCTCCACAGATGTTTACACAGCAGTGCATTTTGCACTACTATGAACAATAACAATCATCTCTGTCAAGTTTATGAAAATGTAACAAAGCTTTTAAATGCTGTATTAGAATAAATCACAACAAAGGGAAGTTAGTGATCACAATGCAAAAGAACAAAAAGAAGACAACTCATGAACAGAAGCAAACAGTAAGTGGTTCAGAGAGAAACACATATAAGTCTGGGCCCTGACATACTGAATTTATTATATATTTTAAAAAGCCAATTTGTATATAATGGAGATTTGTGATTTTATGTACAATCCTCTTGTTCTGTTTCTCTTTGTAAATGGAGATGCTCAATTCGGTGATTTTTGAGTTCAGAAAAAAAAAATAAAAAAATCACAATGGTTTAATTATCAGGACTTCCAAATTAAAGCATTAGCAATTGTCTATGGCTCTAGCAGAGAAGTCTTGATTGGAGAATAAATATTCTTTGCTGGGAAACGAGAGTTTGTATCTTTATCTGGGGTTCTTGATCTTTTTGTGTTAAGGAGCCCTTGAGAAATCTGGTAAAGTCTATAGAGTACTTCTCAGAATATTTTTAAATGCATAAAATAAAATACATAAGACTACAGAAAAAACCAATTACATTGAAATATAGTCATCAAAATACATTTTTTAAAAGATACAAGTTCCCAAGTTTAGTACTCCTGCTCTATATACTAATCCAATCAAAGAAAAAAAAATAGTGAAGCCAACTGGCAAAAGGAAAAGTGGAAATCATTTTATAATTTCTTTACCACCACAAATAGTTTTGAATGAACTGCCACACAGGGAGTAAAATGAAAGACAACAACAAAAATGTTATACTCATCTACTTAGAGACGGAGACACTCCTTCATCCCCCTCAATTTGCTAATTTGGGACTTAGGATATCATAAGATAGTTAGCTTCAAATACTTTTCTGTCTTTGAAAGACAAAGTGCCTTGTATAGTGCTTTAAACGTTTTTTAGAAGGTAGAAACGACTTGTAGATGAAAGGATCCCATACATACAGATGAGAAAACTGAAGCTCAGAGAGATAAAGAAACTGATTTTGGTATGAGATACAGCAAAGAAATTTCCAGTGTCAAAATAAAACAGTATTTATTAAAAACAAATACATCTATTTTAAATTACAATATCTGCCATTTTATATGCCATGTTGATCTCTCATTTTCCCCTCAATGTTGATTTTAAACTTATATTGGCTTTCTTCAATTGTTCCAAGTTATTCTCTTTCTCTCTATGGCCAGGTCTCCCATAAGGACTGACATCTAGAGCACTAGTCTCTAATTTAAAAAAAAAATTATACCTCTATCAGTAATTCTCCCCTCTTGTAAGCCTATAGTGAGGGGTTGGGTTATCCAGCTCAGAAGGTGGGGGGAGGGAAAGATTGCATAGCTCCAGGAGGGGCAATTTTGAATTGTACTTGGTAAAGAGTAGGTGTGGTTGTATTGGAGACAAGTCCCATGAATGGCTATCTCAGGGAAGACAGGATGCAATGCATTCTTCCTACCCTCCAACTGGCAGACCATACATCCCTGGGAATCATGCCATAACCTCCCATTTTGGTAACCATTGACCTGGAGAACAGTAGAGTGCAGAAGTCAGAACGAATTCCCAAACAGGAAGGAATTTCTTTGTTTTCATTTACTCCTATGAAATTTCTGTTATGTCCCCAAAATTGGGTTGCTAGTCATGGTAAACCACTTTTCCTTTTGCTACAAGGAGAAGTATTAGAAAAATCTCTTCTTAATCAAATTATATTTTAGAATTTGTATTTTAGAAATGAATTACCTAAGGACTGCCACACGTAGTTATTCCCCAGGAAAAGGAAAGACAGACCTTTTCTAGAAAAAGTTTCAACAGAAGACATTTAAACCACAATATAAAGAATAACTGGTTATAATCACAATAGGAGGAATAAATACTTACATGAAGTATTGGGGCTTTAATACTTTTCTTGGGGAGTTCTGGAAGAGAAAGGGCCTTGGTACCATCTAACTGAAGCACCTAGAGAGGGAAAATATATTTTTTGGAAACAGGTTCAGAGTCAATCCATAAACTGATCAAGTAGTTAGTAAGAATATACTACATACCAGGCACTGTGTTAGGTGGTAGGGATATAAATAACAACTAATTTAAAATAAACCCTTCTCCTAAGGAGTTTATACTCTAGCAGGGGAGACAACAGAGGCATCAAAGCATATACAAAAGAAATATAAAGAGAATGCATACAAGTAAATATATAGTGACTCAGTATAAAGTAGTTGAAGATAAGCACAGTATCATGTAGAAGGTGATACTTGAGTGGCATCTTGAAGGAAGATAGATTCTGTGAGGCACAGGTAAGGAGGGTGAGCATTCCAGGCAAGGTCAGCCAATGCAAAGACACAGGATTGGGAGAGGGGATATCTAGTGTGGGGTATAGTGAGAAGACCAGTTTGGCTTGGTGACACAATAAGGCTGGAAAGATAGCCTGGTGTAAGGTTGTAAAGGGTTTAAAAGCTAAAAAGAAGTTAAGGGATTGATTCCAGAGGCAAGCTTACTGAGTAGCAGAGTGATATTGTCAGAGTACTTAACAAACTCAATCCCTATTCTTTTACTACTACTACAGTCAAGAATTACATCTTTAAATCAATTGCATTAACTTAAGTGATTTCCTTCAGGATCCAGAATCCTATAATATCCTAGATATTATAATACATTTTGTTATGTATTACATACATTATTATGTATAATACATATACATATATGTATATATTTTATATATTTGGTATACATTGTAATACATTTTACTATGAGTACCTGCTTAGCCTTTTCTTCTTCTTCTTCCAATTCACTCTCAAGAATCCGAATTTTATCCTGAAGGTTCTGAATATTCTCATTTATTAATTCTGTGGCCTTCACTGCTTTTTCAGTTTCTTCCTAGGTTAGAGGGGAAAAAAACCAAACCAAAACAAAGCAAAATACCATGTCAAGAGAAGCTTTCTTCATACGCTACTTCACAAGCTTCACATTACTAGAAGAAATTTGTGAATTACAAATTTTTTAAAAATGTGATACAATAGAGGGGACAAAAGAATCTTCTACCATACTGAAAAGCTGCAGGAGAACTGTCTAAGTGGTATGCTATGGTTGCTACCATTAAAGGTCGTGGTTGGAATGCTGCTGCTTCTTGCTGTGGTAGCTTTCTTCAAGCATTACATTACAGCAGCTAATAGCTATAGTCCTTGAAGAGCAACAAGTATGAACATAGCATCAGAAGGATGCTGACAAATGGAAGGTGATCTGTCTTCAGAGTTGGTGCTACTGATGGTTTGGACCAGATCCTTGCCTATGAGTGTCCAGTAAGGCAATCTTTCCTAACTGCAAGTTTGAGGACTGGTACTAGGCTACATAACTTTTACTATAAAAGATCCAAATATCCTTACTCCTTAAAACCAATAAGTATAAAAAATGGATTTCTTCATTTATTTTTATCCTATATCTCTCATCCTAAGTTTCCTCTTTAGCTCTCCACTGCCTGGAATTCTAAAGTTACAGTGGAAAATTTAGATAATTTTGTAGGTCTACAGTATAGTGAGGTTCAAGAAACAACATGTTAAGAGCTACAAAGAATGAGAGTAACCCATTTTCCACAAGTAGACTGTTCAAATATTTGAAGGCAATCTTAGGCCTTCTATTTTCAGGCATCTATTTTCCAGATGGTCGAGGAAATAAGTCAAAGCACTTCCTCGATCTGCCAATTTCAATTTCTGCACTGGAAGGCGCATGCTTAAAATCTATCCGGAACCAGAAACTGCCATAATTAACAAATAAGATGGCTTAGCGGCACAATCTTCCCTTATCCCTCTGTTACACTAATCTTCCCATTTCCTAAACAAGTCTGATGAAAGTAAAAAAGAAGGACATCTCCCCTCCCCACAAAAAACCTAAAACTGACAAGAAAAATAATAATGAGGAAGAAAAAGATAAATTAAAAGATAGTAAGAGAGCACCTAGCTAATTTAAATTAGTTCTAAGTCCAAATAAATTGCATCCCAGCATAATAAAGAACTTGAAGATGTGGATTCAGTGTTAAGTTATCTTTGAGAAATCTTGGAGAATGGGAAAGGTGACAGAAAATTGGAGATGGGCAAATGTTACCCAAATTTTTAAAAAGAGAGAGTCCAATTATCATTGATGAATACGCCTAATTAAAAATTGAGAAAAGCTAATCAGACAGATGTCTTGTGAGCACTAAGAAAAGAAACACATGAGCACTAGATGCCAAAAAGTGCTCCATAAGAACAACTCACACCAAATTTCATTCTTAGGCTCATTAAATTGGTAGATATACGTAGAACGAAGGGTTTAAATTAATAAAATGATAGTTACTAGGGCTAACTGCAAAATACTGCTCAATACAGGGTTTTGTAATTCATGTGATAAAAAAGAGCTAAGCATTTTAGTTGACAGAAACCACTGCCAACCATGGTCTCCTACACCACTCAGTACTCATGCCATAGATTTCCCTCTCAAGATACGGATACAATGGCCTTGACAAGAAAGGCACTGAATTGTAACTATTGTAATAATTCATGTTTATGTTGCTTTAAGGCTCACAAAGCACTTTCCTAGCAACAATAAGGATAAATAATGCAAGTATTATTTTGCCCACTACGATCACATACACTGGAAACTACTTGAGGGCAATGTCTATTTTTTTATTTCACTTTGTAATCCCAGAACATTTTCTTTTCAGTTCAGACACTTTCACTGATGTGGGGATACAGACTGGCAACTCTTCTGCAACTTATGGTTGTAGAAACATGCCTGAGGGCACCGAGAGGTTAAGTGACTTGCCCAGGAGTCACACAGTCAGTATGTATCAGAGGTGGGACTTGAACTGAGGTTGTTCTGATTCAAAGGTTGGCTCTCTATCCATTAATCCATGCTACTTTTCATTTGATTTCATAACCCCAGTGCATAATAGGTGCCTAATAAATGTTTATTAAATTAAATGAATTTTACAGATGAATAAACAGTATGGTTTGTAAACCATGATATTATTTGGGATGAGATAATTTTGGCTACCACATGTCATGCCAGGCAAATATATGTATGTCATTTTTTTTGCTGGACGAGGTCAATTGGAGGTTTAAGAAGAACAAAAACCTGGGATATTTTCAGAACACTGGCAAAACTGAGGGAAAATTTATTTACTACTATATTTGCATGTAAATTAAGTCAATGGTCATAGTTTGGATTAAAAATGAAAATAACATAAATGCTCTCCACCCTACACTCTTTTCCTCAAATAACATCAATAACTTTAGAGTCACAGGACTAGTCTCCAAATTCTGACTCTCTTATTTGCAGGAAAGTGGTTGTCACATCACATGTTTGAATTCACTTTCCTTACCTATAAAATGAGGAAATGGATGAGATCTCCATGGTCCTTTCTAGCTAGAAATTCCATGATCCCTATTTTACAGATGAGAAAACTGAAACTCAGAGAATTTAAATGACTTGTCACAGAACCATAGATAGTGTGAGTCCAGGTAGGCCTTGAATTTGGACTCTATTTATAAAAGGGTCTTCTCTTAGTTACGGAGCTTTTGTTTGAACATAGCAGCAGAATTTCTGATAGTACTCAACCACAAAATTAATCATAGTAAATTTTCAATATCCAGTTTGTGGATTACTATTTATAGAAGTGAATTCTAGGAACCCAGGCTGTTGTAAATGAAATCAAACTCAAAAGCGAAGAAGTTGGGCCTGAGGACTAAACTATGGTAAGGAAGCTTAAGGATATTAGAAGACACATGTCTTTGAAGAACTTACAAATACCAATTATTTTTGTGATATCTAATACTTTGTATTATCTGTAACTTCTCTTCCTCCTATTTATGTGTGTAATTGACTAAGGAGTACTTCGTACTGCCAATTAGATTATAAATTTCAAAGTCATATGAAATGGAAAATGTCTTTATACTTCTAAATATATGATGTTTCACTTATTTGATAGGCTGTTTAGGCAGAAGTAAGCACACTTAAAACTTAAATCAGATCAAGCACTAGAAGTGAGAAGTCAGAGTCCAAGGACAGGTCAAAGCCTACTTTAGTTCTGAGAATTAGCTATTAAATACATCCTATAATTTGCTATTACTGGCTTCTTGTTGTAATATAAACAAACAAAAATGATCTGGAGTCAATTTTGGCAGCTACTAGCACTGTTCAGTTAATAACATATTAAGTATAAGTGAAAGAAGATTCTGAAATTCTATAACATTAGTTAGAAAATCCACAATTTGATTACAAAATAATATCACATATTTAAGGGAATAAAAGGAGGAAAAAAAAAACCATACCAGATTAGTACTCAACTACTGCAGCCTACATTCGGGTACACATGATATCTTACTGAAAAAGGATTTATGATAAATAAGTTTATTCAAGATGGGGGGGAGGGGCAGCACTATTTTCTAGGTCAAATTGGCAGAGTATCACACTGACTTGTGATAAATTTTCAGTCCTTTCATCTCTCACCTTACTTTCCAGATATTGCCAAGCCATCCCACTTACATATTCATAGTACCTGTAAAAACGCCAGGCCTTCTTCATTGGCCTCGAGAGTCTCCATCTCCTTCACTAAGAGATTGGACACTTCCTTGAGACTATTCCACTCTCCCAGGGAGACTTTATGAGTTTCACACAATTGAAGAAATCTTCAACAATAGAAAAGAGAACATTACTAGTTTTTATCATAGATATGATTAATTTTCATTTCTGTTTTAGTGATGGGAGAACCAGTGCACAAAATCTTTTTTTTTCCTGTTTTAACCCTTTGCAATGACCTGATTATTACCTTTCCTTTAAGCAGTTAAGATGAATTTGAGTGTTTTCCTTTTCTTTTATTTCAGCTCTCAAAACATATCTAGAAGAGAAGTTAAATATAGTTAAAGAAAAAATGGACTTTTGAATATTAAGTAATTTAAACTAAGTGCATTTTTTCCTAATCTCTGTGATAATTCATCCTCATCTCTGTATTTCTAGATAAAATCTTTGGTTTATTCCCTTGTCATTTTATATCTGAATTACCTCATCTTCTTTCTATCTGGCTTCTCCATCTAGGCTTTCTCTGCTTTCCAGCTAACTCAGTTCTGCTAACTAAAAATCACCTCTTCCTAAGGACTTTTTGATGTCCCAATATTAAATTGGTGCTGTATCTTCAGGATTTTAATGTATGATACCAAGTTTAACTACCGGATTACAGAGTTTAAGCCTTGGCCATACATAGGGATTGTGAAAACATAACAAAAAAGTAAAATCTCACCCCCAAAATGACCAGAGGGTATTTCTTTCCTTGCATCCAAGGCTACAGAGAGCAGCCAGATTTCCTCTCCAAAGGGTTTTTAGCAGTTCACTTATATCTTAGGAAACCCTCCAAGGTCCATACAAACACATCTGTAAAGGGAGGGAGCTGGCTTTGAGATGGAAAGATAGGATTTTAATAGTCATTGATAAGCCTATCAATGATACTTTCCAATATAATTTTAGTTATTTACTAGAGCTGTGATAAAAGTATAGGAATCTTTGAGGACCTCTGAATAAAATAAATCAGACTGAATCTCAATGGCCCAAGAGAAGCTATGGACAAAAAGACATAAACCCAGCAGTATTAATGGAAGCTACTGAGAATTTAAATAATGAATTAGAGGCTTTATAATCTTGTCTTCTTAAAGTTACAAGTGAACTGTTACTTTGTATGATAAAACTTTGGGTATACATTCTTCTGAGACAGTAAAGAGATTTATCACTCAGAAAAATTTAATGATGATACATTCCCCATTAAGGCCCTACTCTAATGCCTCATCATAAAGTAGAGAGAATTCTGGGATCTTGAAGACTATTACCCTAAAGCACAAGTTTTGGTGGGTCCTACCAAGCTGGAAAAAAATGAACATATGTCTGTGAACTGCCCAGTTTGAATGATAAGAAGCTTATCACCAGGTTGGATGCACGGTAATGAATGTTTTTGTCAGAGAACCTCTTAAGGACTGCCAATCAAGTTGTAGAGAGGTTGTGATATGCACTGGTTAGTAGTCAGTTTTAAAATCACATATTCCTGAGAAACTGCTACAGTTCAGACTTGAAAATGAAATCAGTTAAGATATAGAAGCCCTGATTTGAGTAGGTGGAGATGCAGATTTGAGTTGAGTGGCAAGGTGGTACAGCGGATAGAGCGCTGAGCCTGAAGTCAGGAAGACTCATCTTCCTGAGTTCAAATCTGGCCTCAGACACTTACTAGCTGTGTGATTCTGGGAAAGTCATTTAACCCTATTTGCCTCAGTTTCCTTAGCTGTAAAATGAGTTGAAGGAAATAGCAAACGACTTCAGTATCTTTGCCAAGAAAACCCAAATGGGGTCACAGAGTCAGACACAACTGAAAAAAGACTAAACAACAAAGCTGTAGAAAAAAGAAAAACAGAAGCAAAAACAGTGGCACAGACTGCATACTCACCGTATCATAGAATCCATCATAGCCTCAAAATATTCTTTATTGTCTTTTGAGAGAGGCTGCCATGTTACTTTATTTTTGAGGGTTTTCTTTTTCATATTTGTACTTTTCCCAGTTTCTGGCAAAGGAAGAAAAATAGCATAGTAACTTGCTGAAAATGTAGCTCATTTTATTTTTTAAAATAAGGACCTCATACAATTATACAAATTCAGTTATCAGTCTTATGAAACCAGATCAACTGCTTAGTCACCTAATGTTTACAGAAAATGTTTCACGTACTCTGTTGTCAGTGAAGATACCCGATAAAACTGGCATTCTTAATTTTTTTTTTTTAATGTCATGGACCGCTTTGGAAGTACGGTGGAAACTATGTACCTCTTCTCATCATAACATTTTTAAATACATACAATAAAATACATAGGATTACAAAGGAATCCAATTACACTGAAATATAGTTGTTAAAATTAAAAATAGCAACACTAAAAACAAATTTATGGACTGCAGGTTAAGAATCCATGCAGTAAGGTCATATTGTCCAGCACTTTAACAGTGGGAATATTTTATTAACTGGTATTTCAGACATAGGCCTAAAATGCGAACCTTCAAAGTGAAATAAGAAGCAATAATATAATTGTTATTCAAAATGGAAATACAACTTTTATTCTCAAGAAGACAGTTGAAAAGAGCATTACTAATATACCCTGAGGGGGCAGAATGTTTTTCACTTATAGTTGTTGATTCAGGAGAACCAGTCTGGTGGGATGACAAGAGATTGGCTCAAGATTCTCTTACATAAGTAACAGTGAAATAGTTTGCCAGCATCAAACCAAGAAAAAAAAAAACCCAAACAGTTGCATAATCTGCACTGGAACTAAATATCATTTACCTGTTAAAATTCTTTCCCAGTTGCTCTAATTTTTCTCTAGTAGGTGCTACAGCAATGTCCTGGCTAGACTTTTTTTCATCAGGCTGGTATCATATTTTGACTATTTGACTATGGGGATCCTTCTTATGGGAAGTGTGAATTTTTAATTATAGAAGTGAGGCTAAGTGATGGATCAAGCTATTTTTATTATCATCATGAGAGTCATCATTATTATTATTATTACTACTACTTACTGTGTACTAAAATTTTTGTGTAACTGCCATTTTGGTAGATGCTTGTCTTAAGTAGAAGAAAGTTTTATATTTATTATGATTTACTGTAATCCTTTTGGCTTATACATTAATAGTAATAGGTGTTTTTAAAACAGTTATTTGTAGTCTTGTAAGTTTCCATGCTAAAATTTTTTTTCTTTCTTTTTGGCAAAAAGCTTTGTCCTCCCCCCACCTTCATTTTAAGATAACTGTAGCTTCTGTCAAGGTCATTCTCAGGATATTTATTAGTAGTCAAGTTGAGCATACTGCCCATCCTCAGATAAGCTCCACCTCCCAATGTGCTTGATTGTGTATCACCTTTAGCCTAATTATGAAAACCAGCCCCTCATAAGTTTTCACCCCCAGCAATGAGGTGCCTTCATCCAAGGCTGCTGAGGGTGTACAATGTATATACTAAGGTCAAGTTGCCTCAAAGACCAATAGTAAATACAGAAAATAGTGTTGAAAAGATTGATATGTGCACCTCACCCAATTAGAGCTCTTAAATCTTAAAACAGAAAAAAACAAAAACTTATGAGTAAGTCCCTTACTCATAAATAGTGAGTAAATGTCAGATGCAGAGTTCTTTCTGTATATCCGCTAGGGCAATATGGCTTTAGATTGCACTGATGCCAAAAATTCATTTTGTGACCTACAGATACAGGTTATTTGTATTAATTTGGAGAAAGTTGATATAGAACAGAAACTCTACAAGCCTAAAAGAGCATGTACCTCATATACAAGTACCTGAAGGGTCAGCTTTTGTACTCTCTCTGTTTGCTTTTAATCTGAGATCAACCCAGCTATAATTGAAATCCTTCAAAGAATTTAAATGAGTAGTTTCACCTTTTAGTGATGTAGACATAAAGTTTTCCATAAAGTTATTCCTTTGGAGATCATCTGCTGCTAAGTGTCGAGGGATGGGAAGGAGAACATAATCAACTCTGCAGCCACTGGAATTAGTCCCATGAACCTAGGACAAGCAGCCCCTCTAGGGTGTCTCATTAAATTAGAGCAGTTAACTTTTAGTTGCTCCAAATATTTGATGAACCACTAGGCCCTTATTCCTTCAGCATGACAACTAACATCTTTTATTGTACAATCTTTATTACTCAGAGGACAAATTAGTGAGATAAATTTAAATTATGTAAAGAAATAGGCAGAAGCAAAACTTGTATCTTTGAGGATTCCTGTTCTAGAAAACCAAATGAAATGGCTGAGGTATTAACTAAGCAGAGAGAAAACAGAATCCTGAGTTTACTATGAGTACCAGTAAGATTAGAGAGCTAGGCCTGGAGTCAGGAAGATCTGCGTTCAAAGATTATGAATTGTGTGACCCTGAGCAAGTCACTTAAACCCTGTTTGCTTCAATTTCCTCATCTGTAAAATAAGCTAGAGAAGGAAATGGCAAACCACTTCAGTATCTTTGCCAAGAAAACTCCAAATAAGTTTAATAAAGGCTGGACAGACTGAAAAATAAGTAAATAACAAAACAACAAATGAATAAGAGAGACAGTCTGTGTAGTAGTTAGCCTGCACTGAAATCAAGAAACTCTGCTAGATTCAAGTTCTGCCTCTCACACCTATTAGCTGGGTAAATATGAGTAAGTCATTTAAACTCCTAGTGTTTCAGGCAAGTGTCTAAGACTTTAAGAAAGTGGCTAACCTGAATCTGTGGAGGGAGTTACAACACCAGCATTTCCCCACTGCAATGAATCACAGATCTAGAACTTTCTGTCTCACCCCCACAAAGGTTACACGTTACATTAAGAACTACGGAAAAGGTATCTATATAGTTGTAGATAATTAAGTAATGAGACTAAAAACATACAGAATAATATTCAAATGCATTCTTCCTTACATAAGTCACCTCAAATCTAAACATTCATCCCAACAATACAGCCACATTTGTCAAGATTTTTTTAATCTCTTCCTTTAGAAAGGCTTCTATGAGAGTTAAAGAAGACTTAAACTGCCCAAAGATGTCCACTCTCCTTTTCTTTATCTTGTCTCATAAGTGACATATGGTCCCCCTTTGATCTAGCGCAATGAGCTATACTAACAAAGACATTCTTTAGCTCTTGTAACTAGCAATATATATTTTCCTATTTTTCTTTTTATAACCAGGTACACTGTAATTAGCAGCAATTTTTTTTTCTCTTTGTCTCATGTAACATAAATGTTAGTAGCCAAATTGTAAGGGGCACAGATGGCTATCAACTGCTGGTAGAATGTGTCTCACTCGGAGTGAATAAACTACAGTAATCCTGTTTCTGTGTATGTGGTTAGTTTATTGGCAGTGGCTAGTCAATGGACCCAGGAAGAACTCACACAATACATCAAAAAAAAAAAAAGTTTCCTTTAAGACAGGAAATGGAGAAGAGAATGGTTTGATTTTTATCTTTAGTCTGTGTTAACTATCTGGGCAATTCTTGGTGTGGATTTAACCTTCCACCAGTCTATATCAGCAACTCATCTACAACTTTTACTCTTATAGTGTTGTCTGGGGCCACTAAGAAGTTAAGTTACTTGCTCATAGTCATATAGCTATTCTGTGTCAGAGGTAATCAGGTAATTAGGGCTAGCCCTTCTACCTACTATGCCATACTACTTCTCTTGAATTCTTATATTGTAGTATATTCTAACGTACTTTGTTTTATCATACTTTGTTTATAAAACCCCACACAGTTTATTTGGCAATGACACAAACACATATTTTTAAAAATGGGATATTTGGTGGCAGTTGGTGGTGCAGTAGATAGAGCACTGGCCCTGGAATCAGGAGGACCTGAGCTCAAATCTGGCCTTAGACACTTATTAGCTTTATGACCCTGGGTAAGTCACTTAACTCCAATTTCCTCCCCTCAACCCCCTGAAAAAAAAAAAACCAAAGGAAAAAAAGTGATATTTGACTTCGGAAGGAACATTCTAGCTACAATTTAACTGCTACCTAGATTATGGTTCTAATGCAGATATAACTGTTCTGCCACCTTGTCACTTTCCATACTCCCTCCGTATTTCTTTATATACATCCAAGCTTTTGATCTAAAAGCAAGGAGCCAGATCAGGTACTGAATTTGTTGCCTGTATCTGATGTGTGTTTGCTTTCCATTTTTCCCCCTGCACCAACCATGACCCAGGATCAGCAGAACAATTACTACCACTAATAATTTCTAGGCACCTTTTAGCCTACTCCTTCAAAAAGATTAAAGAAAAAAATCTATTCAATCTTTTACAATTTATTTCAGAATAAAACTTGAGCTACAGTAAAATTTCCAACTAGCACTTGGTTAAAGCATGTTAAAATTCATGTGGGAAACTTTACAGTTGCCCTATTAAGAAGAAAAGTTGGATTAAAGATCGCAATAGATACTACACCTACGCCTACAACTACTACTACTACTACTAGGAATCAAAGAGAACATTATCCTGTCTAACTTTACATAAAATTTACAAAATGGTAATTTTTATCTTTTACATGTAGACAGGGGGAATAGCTTTACAAAATCTCCAGGACTTAAAGTCAATTGAGCAAAAATAAGAAAGGGAGATGGAAAAATACTAACCTGGCTGTTCTGGATTCTCAGATTGTTTCTTCATTTGTTTGCTTGAATGTCTTACCTAGACAAAAAAAAATGTTAGAGAAACAATTTTCCAACAATATCCTAAATATGTTGGCAGCTTGATACTCATTCTAGTTAGATAAGAGGAAAAGTATTGCTCAACTTTTAAAAGTATTGTTTTTAGTGGGGAGTTAAAATCGATGCAAAAATTTATTTTTGTGTATTATGTGCAATGCACTATGTTAGGCACTGGGGAAAAAAGACATAAAAATTAGATACGATTCCTGCATTAAAGAAGTCTACAATCTTATTAGTTTATATTGTTTATGCTATGTACAGAAGTAACTATGTTAGGAATTAGAATGTGGTAAGTGCATAGGAGAGATGTTCAACAGAAAAAGTGAAGATTGGGGAGGGTGAGATAATTTCCAAACATGCTGAAGCCAAGTATTCAGGATGGGATGGGGAGCTTTCTAATACTTAGAGAATGGACCATTACCCATCCCTGGAAGTTCATGAATGGGTCAGATGATACTGAGAAACAGAAGGAAGTAAGAAACCAGTGCTAGTTAAGATATTTTAAGAGGTAGTGTTATCATCACTACTGTCAGATGAAAGTAGTGATTTCAGAAGGGAAAGGCAGAAGAGAAAAAAAAAAGGACAGTGATGAAGCACTGTATTTTAAGAAAACAGACTCTTGTGAACAAGACTTGCTATTCTGGAACCGATTCTGACAAAGAAGGAGAAAATGGTAGCTGAAGTAGAAATGACTTGGGTGAGAAGTTACTATTCAATCTTAAAAACTCATAACAGAGAATGACAAAGAAGCTGGGCATATTCTGAAAGAAGAGACCTGCAAAAACTAAGAAAAGGACAGGTATGATCCCACAGTATAAAATTCCAGATACATGTGATCTAAGAAGATTAGAAGTTTTCGAGAATGAAATTCTGAAGATATAAACAGAAATTCATTTGATGAATAAGAAAATTGTCTAAACAGACTGATGTCTTTTTAGGAAACTCATTTACCAACTGAGATTTTTAAAAAGATATAGAAGAGGGAAACAAAGGCAGATAATGCCAAGTTGCATAGTTTTGCGAGAATAGAGTCAGGCAGGCTAAAGCATAGAATGGGATGAGGCTGGCCGGCCATGAATAATAAGGACCTGGGTTTATTTATTTATTTATTTTAAGCTAAGTTGAACGCAGCAGTAAACTCAAGCAACAAGGACATTTCTGGGGAAAGATGAGACAATGAAACAGACAAAATAGAGATAGCAGAATAATTAAATTATTATTTTCTCTGTCAAGAAGAATGATCTTTGGGAAAGATATAATAAAGTTAATTAATAGGGAGTTGAAACTCAAGATAAATGAGATCATAGTAGAAGATTCTACAGCTGGCCTCAATGAGTTTAAATTTACTAAATCTGAACATATACCCCTGGAGGTGCTAAAGGAAGTAGTGAAAGCGACTGCTGCCGATGGGCAGAGTATCTGTGAAGGACTGCAGAGAAAGTGAGAGTTACTTCAAGTCAGGGAAATAACCTAATTTCAGGAGAGAGAAGAAGGTGGAGTGTGCCAACCCTAGGCTAGTGAACTAACTTTTATTCTGGGAATAGTCTGTATTATTTAAGAAGTGACTTACATGCACATAGAATGTGGTGATCAGGAGGAACTCACGTGGCTATATCAAAAACATGCCATGTCATACAACCTTCCTTTCCTTTTTGATAGGTTACAAATACTGGTAGATCATGGAAGGCTAGGGTGGGCCTATTGCCCTTACATTTTAACAAAATGTTAAAAACTTCTGATGAAGTCTCTTTGCATTAGATGACAATAGTTAGGAGTGATTATCACTGAACAGAAACTGATATAGATAGATAGAACTCACTGACTGGAGCCTCAATACAATCTTTAACATATCAACATAAACTTGGAGGGAGGTCTCTTGTAGAGCGTCTTGTGCTAATCATTTTTATCAATGACAGCGATGAAGAAAGACATCAAATTTGCTAATAACATTATGTTTTAAGGGATAATTAACATGTTTGATTGACAGAGCCAGGATCTCAAAATATGTCAGCAAGTTAGAATGATGGGCTGCATCTAATAAATGAAATTTCTAAGTGGTTAAGTATGGTATTTGGGTAAAAAAAAATGAGCTTCACAAATATACTCTGGAGAGCCTCATCTGGAAAAAATAAAAGATTATCTGAAAAAGATTTCTTGACAAGAAGCTTATAGATGCAAGCTATAGAATGAGACACACATTTTGACCATAACAACTGTGTGGATTTATTTTGCTTGGTTATGCTTATTTGTCACAAAGGAGCTTTAAAAAAATTAAGGGACAGAAGTTTTGGGGAGACAGAAAGGCTATTAATAGTGGTATCACCAAATATCCTGATAAGCTTCTGGGATTTCCTATTATCTTTAGAATCAAATATAAACTACTCTTTTTGGTATTCAAAGTTTTTCACAACCACGACCCTGCCTCTTCCCATTTTTCCTACAGTTTTATTATTCTTCTCCATATAGTCAATGGTTTAGTCATACTAGCCTACTTGCTATTCTTCACACAAGACACCCATTTCCCACCTCCCATCTCTGTGCCTTTGCATTGAGTGTCCCCTGTGCCTAGGATGTACTTTTTAAAAAATTCTTTGAATTTTTAGTCCCTTTAAAACCTAGTTCTATGTAAGGCCTTTCATGGTTGACACCACCTTCCCCTACCGTCTCCCCACCAGCTATTAGTGCCCCCCTCCTAAAACTCTCTTTTATTCATTTTATATATATTCTGCATGCACTTATATGTATACATGTTTTCTCCCCATTTAGAATGTAAGCTCCTACAGGGCAAGGCCTGTTTCATTTGGGTTTTTATATCCCTGGTATATGACATAATGTCTGACATAAAGTAGATACTTGAGAAATGCTTGTTAGTTTAGATAGTTATTATTGGGCAACAATCTCCTTTTCTACATAAACATCAATGTCGGATGGGAGAAGTGTAATATAATGCAAAGATGACCCAGTTTAAAGTCAGATCTGGGTTCTAGTTGTGGCTCTGTCATTAACTATGTATTTTTACTTTGGATAAGCCATTTAATGTCTCTGGGCCTTAGCTTCTGCACTTCTAAATTAAAAGGACTGGGACTAGGTGAGTTTGAAAACACTTTTCAATTCTAAAATTTTATTACTTATAGTTTTAGCATTTTTTTTTCATTTTTCAATCCTATTACCAAACTGGTTTTGTCTCTAAAATCCCTTTCCTCTATTTCACAGAGAATGCTAAGAAAGCAGAAAATGTAATTTTATCCCATTTTTCCCCCTAAATGGTTAAGACATTGTCAATACCTCTTTCTCTGACTCCTTAGTATCTCCAATATCAACTTTCCTTTTTCCAGCTTTTTTGCACTGTTGAGATTTGCTCTCACGCTTTGACTTGGTTCCTGTTGTGCAATTTGCACCTGCTCTTCTAGGCATCGTGACTTATATGGAACAAATTAGTACTTTAAGATCTTCAGAGAAAAAAAAAACAAAGATAAGGGGAAGATTCTAAAAATGTCATGCAATTTTAATTAGTTCAACAACACCAAGTACCAATTAATATTACAAATAAGCCTATTTTACTTTTTGGTTCTTCATTATCCTAAAAAAGTTATAGTAAATCAACTGTAATGTCATTAGGGACTCATCTAGATAAGAATTTATTATATTTTTACTACTAAAAATCTCAGCATTTGTACAGTATTTTACTTTTTCAAAAGTTTTCACATGTCTTTCATTTTAACCTAACAACTATATATATTACATGTGAAGCTGTCATTATTATGCCTATTTTTTAACAAAGGATCATGGAGAATTTAAATGTCTGGCCTATGGTCCCAAAGCTAGGCACTATCAGAGTGAAGCTAAAATAAAATCCACATCTCTCAACTGACAAACTGAAAACTTCTGTCTATAGCTTAAAACATATGTGCTAAAGGAGAAGCAAGATGGAATAAAGAAGCATTACTAAGGGTTGGGGTCCAAAAAAATTGTGATAATTTGCTTTCCCACTACCCTGTTCATTCTTCCGAACTTCTTGTTTCTCTGGTTTGTTCTACTTCTCAATTTTTGGACCAGTACTTCTTAACACCCCACCCCCCCAGCTGTCAATACTCTCTACTGTGGGTGTATCCGGAAACCCAGATTATATGTATAGATTACCTATTCACTACACCCACCACAGTCCCTTTGTGAGGAAATGAGTAAATGAAGAGTGGCACAAATAAGTGTTAGGATTTAGTGTTAAAAAATAATTATATTTGATAAGGCTTTCTCAAATTCTACCTCAAGACACACTTTTAAACCAGTATCAATTGCATTCTAAAATGAAGTGTACTTTAATACTCAATGAGTTGTTTCAGAGATTGTCAATGGACTAAGTCCTCTAAGTAAATGTAATCACCTCAAACTTTTTTCTTTGAAAGGAAAAGACTTCAAGCACCACCTAGTGGTTACTTTTTCCTGAAATTGTGGTACCTCAAATAACTCACCCAATAGGGTTAAGAAGACAAAGGAAAAGCAAAGCTCTGGACAAGGCAGAATCTAAGAAAAAATTTCTCTCTCCCTTCCCTCCTTAACCCTTACAGACAATGGGGCACTAAAAAGAAAATATAGTCTCTTCTCTCTCTTTAGGGATGCAAATACTTGATCGTCACTTAGCCCTTTTGTTTAAAGAGATGTTTAAACTTTTTAATGTCTCTTAAATGTGTGTATGGTGGATTTACTTTTTTGAAGGCTCTGTACAGATCTTAATATTTCAACAGGAAGGCTTAGAAAGCATCAATTCTGTTAAAGTCCATATTCCTACCCTCTTTCTAACTCTCCTTCTTCATACATAAACACACATAGGACGATGCCCAACTTTGCAAGATGTTATTCTTAGATGCAAACTACTTCCTTTTGCTTTTCAGTATGTCATAACCACTCTCTGCTTTCCTTTCTCATGGCTGATATGTAGTTCCACACAATTCTGACTGTGTTTCCTTGGTCGAAGACCTGTCCCTTCCTGCAATATTTTTTCTATGACTTAGAAGCTCTAGAACTTGACAAGTTTATGGATATATTTTATCTAACAGTTCTTTGTGGTGGAGATCTGTGGATACTATCTCCACCCCCCTGAGCCCCTCCACTCTAATACTTTTGGGGACTTTTTCGATTCCTTGAAATTTGGTATTCAGGTCTTTTGTTTCAAACCTGATGATTCTTAGACTTTCTTTCTGCCCTGATCTCCAGGTCAGCTACTTTGACAGTAGACATTTCTCAAATTTGCTGTATTTTGACTTCACTATTTTTGTTATCATTTAATTTTCAGTTGTTTCCTCCACAGCACTCACTGCTTTGTTTAAGGTTTCTCTAACTTCTTTTCAAGGCAATCCATTCCACTATTTATCTCTGCAGTCAGTTCCTTTATTAGGTCATCTAGTCATTTCCAGAATTTCTGTGACATTTTTTTCTTTCCTGAGATTCTACTGGCAGTTACTGCTGAATTATTCTTACTTCCTAGGGTTTTATCTTTGGATTAGCTTACAGTATAGTAGTTCTTCACTTCATCACAAAAATTTATTTGCTTGTTCATTTCTTCTGTTGGCAAGCAGGATAAAGAGAGAACAGAACTTCCAAAAGTTGGGCTTGCCTAATCACTGCAAAGCAGAGATTCTGCTAGTTTACAATAGTTGTTTGGATGACTTGGCTTTGATGCCAGTCCCCGGCTCCTGACTATGGTGCACGGCCCAGAATAGGGGGTTAGAGGTAAGCAAGCAGAAAACATATGTAACAGCAGCAAAAGACACCAGGGACATTGGTCAATGCCCTTCATAGGTACCTCCCATTAACCTTCCCCTCCCTCTCATGTTGACCCTAGCTTTCTGCTATTTCTAAAGTGCATAATGTAGGGCCCAAAGTGGAGGCAAATATCAATACTGATACAGCTCCAATAGTATGTCAATTTGCTAATCACTACAAAAAAAATCTCAAATTTAGAGTACCAAAAGTTAATGCTTTAAAGTGATCTAAAAACTGTGAATCTTAACACTCTATGTTTCTTTCTCTGCTACTCTATCACCATCATTGTTCAAGTAGAAAGGGGTCAGACAGGATTAAAGGGCCATTTTCTACTTTTCTTTGTGTCATGGTTATCATAACCAAAGAACTCACTGCCAATCTATTAGATGATGTTCTTATCAGGTTGATTCTTGCATAGTACAGCTTGCTGCCAAGACCAGACTACAAGAATTTCTAGCATAGTAGACTAGGCTAAAGCTTATGCTCTACTAGCTCAGTATTTGAGACTCCTGGGTTACCTTTACACTACATTTTTTTGTGGATATTATATTATAAAGGTAATGGTTTTATTTAGTTGTAGGTAAGAGTGCTGTTTTTTTTGGGGGGGGAGGAGGGGTGAAGATAATGAATTCTGATTAGAACTTGTTAAATTTTAGACATCTGGGAGCCTCAGCAATTCTGGCCATACAGGCCTGGAGCAGTGGTTCTCAAATTCTTTGCTCCTTGCACAATATTAAACACTTATGGGGTTCTTAACCTGGGGGCCTATGAACAGTTTTTCAAAATATTAAATATTCTGATAATTGTATTTCAATATAATTACTTTCCATTGTAATCCCATGTATTTTGTTCTATGACTTCAAAAAATTCTAAGAAGGGGCCCATGGGTTTCACCAGGGCCCAAAAGGGCCCATGACATTAAAAAAATAAAAATTTAGAACTCTTGCATTAAGGAAGAGTTGAAACACTGTGAATGTAACTGTGATTGTTAAGTTTTCTACAATTCATTGACACCTCGTGCTAATATAACATTTGAGAACCACTGGACTAGGATATACTAGCTGAAAGTAATCTCCATTGAAATTATAATCGAATCCATGAGAGTTCATGAAATGAACAATGGAGGACATAGATGTAGTTAAGAATTGGGGCCAATAAGGTCCTAATTGCTGGAGAAGCAAATGCAAATAGCTCCAGTATTTCTGCCAAGAAAACCCCAAATGGGATCGTGAAGAGACAGACATGACTGGCAATGACTGAACAAGGACAACAAAGGTCTAAATTAAGGGCAGGAACTATTTTTCCTTTTTTTTCCGGTACAGATGCCCAGCACCTAGAACACACCTTTGTATACAGCAGACTCACAATGAACAATTGTTGGATTTGGATTATTATAAATAATGTCAGGCTTGCAGTCCAACCAAAACCCTGGAATTGCTTTATTTTTTCAAACTCTCTCTCTCTCTCTCTAAAATACATCTATCTATCTATCTCCACCTGTCCCAATCTCTTCTGACTCCATCCTACACTTGAGCAGTCCGTGTTTTGAACCTAACAGATCTTTTTTTACTTTATATGATGGCACTGTCTTTCCCCATAAATGATTCATCTTTTTTTTTCTTTTCAGGCAACTGGGGTTAAGTGACTTGCTCAGGGTCACACAGCTAGTAAGTATCAAGTGTTTGGTCAGAGGGCAGATTTGAACTCAGGTCCTCTTGACTTCGGGCCCCCAAGCTCTACTCACTGAGCCACCTAGCTGCCCCATAAATGACTTACCAAATAAATTATAAGCTCTAGGATGGCAAGGATCCTGTCTTGTATGTGTTCCTCATAACTACCCAGTAAAGAGCTTTGCTTATAGTAATCTTGAAAGAACATAACTTTTAAGATGCTGCCTCTACTACAGGCATCATGGCCCACTGTCAAGCTGTTCTTTTTAAGGAGAATATCAGATTAAAAAATACCTTCAAAACCTTTGTAACTTGATCTTTAATTTACATTGGCTGGAACATAGCGTGGTTGACAGGAAATATATCAAAATCGGTATAAAAACCTAGACTGGAGGCAGATCGTGAATAATTTTAAAGGCTAATAATCAATCAATGAGCATTTAAAAACCCCCTACTATAGGTGACAATATGGAAGATGGGGGGGGTTAGCAGATAGTTGTAGAGAAATGAGAGGAAAGCTCATATGGTAGATTCCCTTAATCAATCAATTAGCAAGGCTTCCTTAAATACCTACAACTCTGTTACTTACACAGGAAGAAAAAGGCATTCCCTTACCTCATGGAACTTATGTTCTATTGGAGGGGGAGGCTAAGTGCATATGCTAACAGATTGTAAGCTTCTGGAGGGCAGGGACTCTGCTCTTTTTGTATCCCCAGGGCTTAGTTCAGTACCTGGCACATAGTGTTTTTTCAGTCATTTTTCAATCACATCGGAGTCTTTGTGACCCCATTTGGGGTTTTCTTGCAAAAAATACTGGGGCAATTTGCCATTTCCTTCTCTATCTCATTTTACAAATGAGGAACTGAAGCAAACGGTGTTAAGTGACTTGCCCAGGATCACAAGTGTCTGAGGCCAGATCTGAACTCAGGCAGCCGAGTCTTCCTGCCTCCAGGCCCGGCACTCTAACCACTTTACCACCTAGCTGACCCACATAGCTTCGGGGACATAGCAGGTGCTTAATAAATGCTTACTAATTGATTGCTAGCACTAATATTGAGCCTTAAGACTTTGCAGTGTTTCAAATGTTGTCTTTTGATCCTTACAACTGAGCAGCATTCCTGTTTGACAGATGAGGAAACTGAGGAAGAGGTTAAGTGACTTGATCAGGGTCACACACCTAATAAGCGTCTGAAGGGAAGATTTCAGCTCAAGTCTTCCCGACACCAAATTCAACACCATCCACTGAGCAAACTAGCTTGCTACGTTTATATGCAAATACGACACTATGGAGGGTGTTCCCAAAGTCTCAGTGCAGTTTTAAACTTTAATAGCTTTGTTGACCAAGCTTTAATAGTTTGACACCCTTTCTAGGTAATATTCTAAGTCGTTATATCTACCTACCACCTTCACTTTCCTCCCTAACAAAAAGGGCTTCGTTTCCACAAATATCCTCTCACCCCCTAAAAAGACCTTTGCCGGCGCGCAGCACACAGAGAGGGGCCACCCTGGTTAACCAGCGCGCTCCGCTTCTCCAAACGTTACCCTCTCCCTCTCCTTCCGGCTCCGCTCCAGAAAGCTGAGAGTCCTTGACCTTTGGATCAATCACTTACCTGGGGACAACCTGTCTGCAACGGCTTTCCGCTGGCGCACGCGCACTCCGCACAAAGCTGCCCGGGGTGGGTCACAACTCCCGCGCAAACTGTCAAAATAATAATAACGGGAAGTGGGCGGAGACAAGGGCGTCTTCCGGCTTGCACTGCCCTCCCCCACCACCGCCGAGTCCCCGCAAGCAATTCGCCTCTGGGAGGGAGTCCAAGAGGAACGTTCCCGGATTGGCTGGGTGGCCACGCCCCCGTGGCTGTATGGATTCTCCCGGGCTCCTCCCCCTGTACGCCCAGTTTCAGCCAACCCTTGTACGCATGTGCAGAGGGCATTTTTGTGAGGGTAACTGTACTCCGCTTGGTCCGAGGGCCGAGGCCGAGGCGACCAAGAGCTGGTCAGGCCTGGGTCCTGCAGTGTTTAGGTTAAGGGTTACGTGTCTTACCCTAACTCCACTCGGGGAAAGGCCAAAAGGGCCTATAAATAGGTACCGGTAAGTGAGTACACGACCATCTTGATTCTCTCCCCTTTTCCCGTGACTCCCCTTTCTCCCCCCCCTTTCCCTGCTCCCTCCTCCGTCTCCCCCCTTACCTCCCCTTCCCTTTACTCTTCTCCTGCCCCTTACCAGGAAAGGTCCAGGCTTGTTCGTTCATCCTCCGATGCTAGAGAAGACAAAGAATCGTGCATCCTGAACTTGACCATAACCTGTTGTTTTATCCAAATCTCCTTAAACCCCCCCCCATGACTTAATGCCTTATTTCAGCATAGGTACGTACAGGACCTCAGTAGCTGTCACCATTCTGCGCAAAGAAGGTTCTGTTTGTGTTCTTTGTTAAGGGTGACACCCCTTCCCCCACAACATTACTTCCAGCGTATAGGGGTATCCGCTTAAAATTGCAGGTGTGACCTGTCCTAAGGCTTTTGATACGCCAATTATTGTAATTTAGCCAACTTTTGATTATCAAGCAGATTTTATCTTTTATGTTTCCCCTTTGGGAGTATAGTGAAATCTCAGAATAATGTTTATAATGCATAAAATAAAAAGCATAGGATTATAAAGGAAACCAATTACATTAAAATACACTCCTCAAAAATTTAAAAATAACCACCACCACCAAGTTTATAAGATCCCTGGTTTAGAACCATTTATCTATGATAATGGGAGGCAAAGAGGTTGTAGAGAATGGTAGCATAGACAATCCCAAACAGTAGATAGCAAACATAATATTGATGTTCGGTCTTTTAAATAAATTTTCTACAGGACGTTTACATGCCTACTTGGTTTTGCTTTCCTTAAAATAATTATTTGCCTCATGAGCCTGCTGAATGGCAGAATGAAGGTAGCAAGGGATCAGAGTTTTGCTTTGAATGGTTGACATGTAGATAATCACAAGTTGATTTATGGTTCATAATGCTAGCTAGTTATATTTTTTGCTTCTCTGTGCAACTCTTTTGGCTATGTGCTAGAACCACTTTTCCTTCCTAGCCATTAATAACTTGAATTGTATTGTTTTATATTTTACTTAATTTGTTTCTTGAAGCTTCTCTTCGAGTCCATGTCTTAAATACTGAAATAAAGCATTAGAAATTTCTTATTCACATGAAAAATTGTTGAAATGCCCATATATGAAAACTGATTCTTTAACTTACTGACAAATTTTTCCCCAAGTTTAGGAAGGTCATAAGTGTATCCCAATAAAATGTTTTTTTTTTTAATCCTTTGTGACAATATAGACTGTTCTCAGGCAGTTTTTGGAATAACTATGTAGTATTATCACACAAAAGATTTTATTTTTGGACTTTTTAATGTTTATTTTCTTATTTACAAAACTATAGAATAGGAGCTAAAGCTAGCAGAAAGACAGGAAGATGGAAAAGCCTCATAGGTACAGCTGTGTGGCACAGTAGATATACTAGGCCTGGAGTCAGAAAGAGCTGAATTCAAATTCAGTCTCAGACACTTCGCTGTGGAGCGTGGGCAGGTCACTTAACCTCGGTCTGCCTCTATTTCCTCAAGTGTAAAATGGGGATAACAATATCCCTTCTAGGGTTGTTGTGAGGCTCAAATGAGATAATAATTTTAAAGTGATTAACACATTTATGTCATGTAGTGTTGTATAAATATCATTGTTATCATTATTATCATCATCATCATCATCATCATCATTATTATACCTTGGAGAATGTACTCTAACCTCTCTTTACTTTATTTCATCCAGCTGGTAAATAAAGATGGCTATTACCATAAAGTATAGTCAAGTTTTATAAAACATCTTTTAAAATGCAGTGTTAGTGCAGTGACAAATTGTATGCCTCTGCTATCCTAGGACCAGCCTAGTTATCTTGTTACAAAATGGGCCATGATCAAGTTGACCAGATGACAATGAGTTCTTTTGGTTTGTGAGGATAAAATGAGATTATATTTATAAAGCACAGGGTAAGCCTTAAAGTGCTATATAAATGCTAGTTATTATTTTTACATTAGCTTAAAAAGGTATGGAAAAATTATGATCTTTGTCCAGAGAGTGTTGGTTTTTAACCTGCAGTTCATGAACTTGTTTCTTAAAAAATGTTTTAATGGTTATATTTCAGTGCTTTGCTTTGTAATCTTATGTATTTTATTTTACATATTCAAAACATTATCTGAGAAGGGGTCTGTAGACTTTACTAGACTGCCAGAGGGATCCGTTATTCAGAAAAAGTTATGAATCCCTGCTATAGACAAAGTACCCATAAAAATTAGGGTATAGACCAATGAAATATTTAAGTATTTTCTTCTGACAGCTCCTGTTGTACTAGTTAATAAAATGTTTAGTTATTTAGGTGAACTATACTTAAAACTATAAATATAAAAAAGAAAATTATTCAGAATCTAACATCAAATTGATCTGTTATTTTGTTGTTTGTAATCTAAAACAGACAAAATGAGAAGAAAAGAAAGTAAATGAACAGATAACTAGAGTGCAATAGTAGATTTAGAATAAAAATAGTATGTAATCATAGGATTTTAAAGCTGGAAGGAACCTTGAAGATAACCATTGAGGGGATGAAGAAAAAATATACAAAGAGGTTAAATCACTTTGACAAGGGCCCACTGACAAGGCTGGCCAAGCCAGGATTCAAAACCTGGGGCCTACAGCTCCAAATCTAATAATTGCTTTCTTCTTTAAATCACTAAGGTCACAGTTAGAAACTATCATAGTCAGGATTTGAACCTAGGTCTTCTGACACCAGATCCATTGCTCTTTACACTGTATGGTATTAGTATTGTGTGTTTTTATTATACAAAAGATCATGCTTAGAAGTGGAAAGGTATAGTACCTGCAGTCATTTTATTAGGAAAAGATTTGCAAGGAACCTATGTTCCTTGAACATAGATGCTTAATAAGGAGATGGGGATGGAAATGAGAAAACGGTCAATTCCAGGGTGCAAAATGTGAAATTAGACTTTTCCTGCATTTTCCTCATCTATCCTTTTCACCAAATTCTCATGAAACCCCTATTATTCCTTGGAGGTTTACTTGCAGCATTTTTCTTTTGTTTCTCAGATCATCCCTTATTCCTGGTGAGTGACTTTCACAGTCATGCTAAGGGCTAAAATTGGGCTTCTTTTGTTCCCTCCGTATCACCTGAAGCACCTAAAAGAGTCCAAGTTTCTGAGGTATACATGTCAACGCCTTCTTCATCAGCAGCTCCCCCTACATCCAGAGTGGGTTGCCTTGGCTAAAAAGCAGCTGAAAGGCAAGAACCCAGAAGATTTGATATGGAAAACCCCAGAAGGAATATCCATAAAGCCCTTGTATTCTAGCAAGGATACCGAGGAATTACCTGCAGAATTACCAGGAATGAAACCATTTACTCGTGGGCCATATCCCACCATGTATACCTTCAGACCGTGGACCATCCGCCAATATGCTGGCTTTAGCACTGTGGAAGAAAGCAATAAATTTTATAAGGACAACATCAAGGGTAAGATATTTTTGCCTTCCAGTACTTAGTCAAACAGATCAAATGGAGAAAGGCCTGGATTTTGGGGGACTTGAGAAATGTATTTATAACTGGAGTTAGGGTAATTTTATATAGAATGGCTATATTCAAGCTTTAAAGGCAAAAAAAATCGCCCAAACCAAAACTTTGTCGTTGTTCAGTCATGTCCCACTCTTAATGACCCCATTTGGGTTTTCCTTGGTACAGATATAGGACTGGTTTGTCATTTCCTTCTCCAGCTCATTTTACAGATGAGGGACTGAGGCAAAAAGGGTTGAGTGACTTGCCTAGGGTCACATATCTAAGCAAGTGTCTGAGGCAGGATTTGAAATCACAAAGATGAGTCTTCCCGAATCCAGCCCTGGTGCTCTATCCACTTGTGCGGCCTACCTGCCTATAATAAATAGTAAAAAAAAAAAGCAACAAAAAAACCAACAAACATTTAAATGAAAATCAACACGAAGTGTATTGGGTAGAATAGGAAAATAAAATATAAACAAAATATAGAGACAATACTACCTAAATTAATTTACTTAGTGCCATACCAAACTACCAAAGGATTATTTTGTAGAGCTATTACTTTATAGAATTGGAAAAAAAATTACAAAATTCATCTGGAGGAATGAAAAGGTCAGGAATATCAAGGGAATCATTTAAAATAAATGGGAAAGAAGTGGCCTTAGCAGTACCATATCTCAGAATATATTAGAAAGATGTAATCTTCAAAACAATTTGCTACTAGATAAGAAGTGAAGAGGTTGATAAGGAGAACAGATCATTTTATAGAATATGCTGAAGCAAATGAGCACAATAATCTAGTGTTTCATAAATCCACACATTCCAGCTGTTGGGACTATAACTCATTCAATAAGAACTATTTGGAAAACTGGAAAATTGTCGGCAGAAACTAGGTGTAGACGAACATCTTACATAGTGTATACCAACATAAGCTCAAAATGGGTACATGATTTAGACATTAAAGATGACACCACTAGCAAGTTAGTGGAGCATGGAAGAAATTACCTGTGAGATCTATGGATAGGGAAAGAGTTCTTGACCAGATGAGACTGGAAGACTCACTGGAGGTAAAACAAATAATTTTGATTAC